ACCCACAACTAGTTAACTAAAAGGTTTGAACTAACTTGTACAGGTCTCCAATACCCACAACTAGTTAACTAAAAGGTTTGAACTAACTTGTACAGGTCTCCAATACCCACAACTAGTTAACTAAAAGGTTTGAACTAACTTGTACAGGTCTCCAATACCCACAACTAGTTAACTAAAAGGTTTGAACTAACGTGTACAGGTCTCCAATACCCACAACTAATTAACTTAAAGATTTAAACTAACTTGTACAGGTCTCCAATACCCACAACTAGTTAACTAAAAGGTTTGAACTAACTTGTACAGGTCTCCAATACCCACAACTAGTTAACTAAAAGGTTTGAACTAACTTGTACATGTCTCCAATACCCACAACTAGTTAACTAAAAGGTTTGAACTAACTTGTACAGGTCTCCAATACCCACAACTAGTTAACTAAAAGGTTTGAACTAACTTGTACAGGTCTCCAATACCCACAACTAGTTAACTAAAAGGTTTAAACTAACTTGTACATGTCTCCAATACCCACAACTAGTTAACTAAAAGGTTTAAACTAACTTGTACAGGTCTCCAATACCCACAACTAGTTAACTAAAAGGTTTAAACTAACTTGTACAGGTCTCCAATACCCACAACTAATTAACTTAAAGATTTAAACTAACTTGTACAGGTCTCCAATACCCACAACTAGTTAACTAAAAGGTTTGAACTAACTTGTACAGGTCTCCAATACCCACAACTAGTTAACTAAAAGGTTTGAACTAACTTGTACAGGTCTCCAATACCCACAACTAGTTAACTAAAAGGTTTGAACTAACTTGTACATGTCTCCAATACCCACAACTAGTTAACTAAAAGGTTTGAACTAACTTGTACAGGTCTCCAATACCCACAACTAGTTAACTAAAAGGTTTAAACTAACTTGTACATGTCTCCAATACCCACAACTAGTTAACTAAAAGGTTTAAACTAACTTGTACAGGTCTCCAATACCCACAACTAGTTAACTAAAAGGTTTGAACTAACTTGTACAGGTCTCCAATACCCACAACTAGTTAACTAAAAGGTTTGAACTAACTTGTACAGGTCTCCAATACCCACAACTAGTTAACTAAAAGGTTTGAACTAACTTGTACAGGTCTCCAATACCCACAACTAGTTAACTAAAAGGTTTAAACTAACTTGTACAGGTCTCCAATACCCACAACTAGTTAACTAAAAGGTTTAAACTAACTTGTACAGGTCTCTAATACCCACAACTAGTTAACTAAAAGGTTTAAACTAACTTGTACAGGTCTCCAATACCCACAACTAGTTAACTAAAAGGTTTGAACTAACTTGTACAGGTCTCTAATACCCACAACTAGTTAACTAAAAGGTTTGAACTAACTTGTACAGGTCTCCAATACCCACAACTAGTTAACTGAAAGGTTTGAACTAACTTGTACAGGTCTCCAATACCCACAACTAGTTAACTAAAAGGTTTAAACTAACTTGTACAGGTCTCCAATACCCACAACTAATTAACTTAAAGATTTAAACTAACTTGTACAGGTCTCCAATACCCACAACTAGTTAACTAAAAGGTTTGAACTAACTTGTACAGGTCTCCAATACCCACAACTAGTTAACTAAAAGGTTTGAACTAACTTGTACATGTCTCCAATACCCACAACTAGTTAACTAAAAGGTTTGAACTAACTTGTACAGGTCTCCAATACCCACAACTAGTTAACTAAAAGGTTTGAACTAACTTGTACAGGTCTCCAATACCCACAACTAGTTAACTAAAAGGTTTAAACTAACTTGTACATGTCTCCAATACCCACAACTAGTTAACTAAAAGGTTTAAACTAACTTGTACAGGTCTCCAATACCCACAACTAGTTAACTAAAAGGTTTAAACTAACTTGTACAGGTCTCCAATACCCACAACTAGTTAACTAAAAGGTTTAAACTAACTTGTACAGGTCTCCAATACCCACAACTAGTTAACTAAAAGGTTTGAACTAACTTGTACAGGTCTCCAATACCCACAACTAGTTAACTAAAAGGTTTGAACTAACTTGTACAGGTCTCCAATACCCACAACTAGTTAACTAAAAGGTTTGAATTAACTTGTACAGGTCTCCAATACCCACAACTAGTTAACTAAAAGGTTTAAACTAACTTGTACAGGTCTCCAATACCCACAACTAGTTAACTAAAAGGTTTAAACTAACTTGTACAGGTCTCCAATACCCACAACTAGTTAACTAAAAGGTTTGAACTAACTTGTACAGGTCTCCAATACCCACAACTAGTTAACTAAAAGGTTTGAACTAACTTGTACAGGTCTCCAATACCCACAACTAGTTAACTAAAAGGTTTGAACTAACTTGTACAGGTCTCCAATACCCACAACTAGTTAATTAAAAGGTTTAAACTAACTTGTACAGGTCTCCAATACCCACAACTAGTTAACTAAAAGGTTTAAACTAACTTGTACAGGTCTCCAATACCCACAACTAGTTAACTAAAAGGTTTAAACTAACTTGTACAGGTCTCCAATACCCACAACTAGTTAACTAAAAGGTTTGAACTAACTTGTACAGGTCTCTAATACCCACAACTAGTTAACTAAAAGGTTTGAACTAACTTGTACAGGTCTCCAATACCCACAACTAGTTAACTAAAAGGTTTGAACTAACTTGTACAGGTCTCCAATACCCACAACTAGTTAACTAAAAGGTTTAAACTAACTTGTACAGGTCTCCAATACCCACAACTAGTTAACTAAAAGGTTTGAACTAACTTGTACAGGTCTCCAATACCCACAACTAGTTAACTAAAAGGTTTGAACTAACTTGTACAGGTCTCCAATACCCACAACTAGTTAGCTAAAAGGTTTAAACTAACTTGTACAGGTCTCCAATACCCACAACTAGTTAACTAAAAGGTTTAAACTAACTTGTACAGGTCTCCAATACCCACAACTAGTTAACTAAAAGGTTTGAACTAACTTGTACAGGTCTCCAATACCCACAACTAGTTAACTAAAAGGTTTGAACTAACTTGTACAGGTCTCCAATACCCACAACTAGTTAACTAAAAGGTTTGAACTAACTTGTACAGGTCTCCAATACCCACAACTAGTTAACTAAAAGGTTTGAACTAACTTGTACAGGTCTCCAATACCCACAACTAGTTAACTAAAAGGTTTGAACTAACTTGTACAGGTCTCCAATACCCACAACTAGTTAACTAAAAGGTTTGAACTAACTTGTACAGGTCTCCAATACCCACAACTAGTTAACTTAAAGGTTTGAACTAACTTGTACAGGTCTCCAATACCCACAACTAATTAACTTAAAGATTTAAACTAACTTGTACAGGTCTCCAATACCCACAACTAGTTAACTAAAAGGTTTGAACTAACTTGTACAGGTCTCCAATACCCACAACTAGTTAACTAAAAGGTTTGAACTAACTTGTACATGTCTCCAATACCCACAACTAGTTAACTAAAAGGTTTGAACTAACTTGTACAGGTCTCCAATACCCACAACTAGTTAACTAAAAGGTTTGAACTAACTTGTACAGGTCTCCAATACCCACAACTAGTTAACTAAAAGGTTTAAACTAACTTGTACATGTCTCCAATACCCACAACTAGTTAACTAAAAGGTTTAAACTAACTTGTACAGGTCTCCAATACCCACAACTAGTTAACTAAAAGGTTTAAACTAACTTGTACAGGTCTCCAATACCCACAACTAATTAACTTAAAGATTTAAACTAACTTGTACAGGTCTCCAATACCCACAACTAGTTAACTAAAAGGTTTGAACTAACTTGTACAGGTCTCCAATACCCACAACTAGTTAACTAAAAGGTTTGAACTAACTTGTACAGGTCTCCAATACCCACAACTAGTTAACTAAAAGGTTTGAACTAACTTGTACATGTCTCCAATACCCACAACTAGTTAACTAAAAGGTTTGAACTAACTTGTACAGGTCTCCAATACCCACAACTAGTTAACTAAAAGGTTTGAACTAACTTGTACAGGTCTCCAATACCCACAACTAGTTAACTAAAAGGTTTGAACTAACTTGTACAGGTCTCCAATACCCACAACTAGTTAACTAAAAGGTTTAAACTAACTTGTACATGTCTCCAATACCCACAACTAGTTAACTAAAAGGTTTAAACTAACTTGTACAGGTCTCCAATACCCACAACTAGTTAACTAAAAGGTTTAAACTAACTTGTACAGGTCTCCAATACCCACAACTAGTTAACTAAAAGGTTTGAACTAACTTGTACAGGTCTCCAATACCCACAACTAGTTAACTAAAAGGTTTGAACTAACTTGTACAGGTCTCCAATACCCACAACTAGTTAACTAAAAGGTTTGAACTAACTTGTACAGGTCTCCAATACCCACAACTAGTTAACTAAAAGGTTTGAACTAACTTGTACAGGTCTCCAATACCCACAACTAGTTAACTAAAAGGTTTGAACTAACTTGTACAGGTCTCCAATACCCACAACTAGTTAACTAAAAGGTTTGAACTAACTTGTACAGGTCTCCAATACCCACAACTAATTAACTAAAAGGTTTAAACTAACTTGTACATGTCTCCAATACCCACAACTAGTTAACTAAAAGGTTTAAACTAACTTGTACAGGTCTCCAATACCCACAACTAGTTAACTAAAAGGTTTAAACTAACTTGTACAGGTCTCCAATACCCACAACTAGTTAACTAAAAGGTTTGAACTAACTTGTACAGGTCTCCAATACCCACAACTAGTTAACTAAAAGGTTTGAACTAACTTGTACAGGTCTCCAATACCCACAACTAGTTAACTAAAAGGTTTGAACTAACTTGTACAGGTCTCCAATACCCACAACTAGTTAACTAAAAGGTTTGAACTAACTTGTACAGGTCTCCAATACCCACAACTAGTTAACTAAAAGGTTTGAACTAACTTGTACAGGTCTCCAATACCCACAACTAGTTAACTAAAAGGTTTGAACTAACTTGTACAGGTCTCGGTAGATCAGGAAACTTTCTTCTCATCACGAGGAGTCCAACCGCACACAGGCTGGTGAAAGCAAAGCTGGTGAAGGAGGCGGTGTTGATTAACTTGAACACGTTCCCAAACGAAATGAATATCGTCGATGCTACCATCTGTATTATGATAGATCAGACAACCTTTTGGTTCAATTAATTAAGTCATATAGCATATAAATTGTAAAACTATTATTATATTTATTGACCGCTGCATGTTATCAACTATTTGATACAAATAGCACAACGTAAACTCTGGGTCTTTTATATAACGTTATTTTGGTTGATAGCACTTTAATTAAATAGTACACAACTGAAAATGTCTGGCCTCCAGCTCGCCATTTTTGAGATTCAAGCAAATCGATGATTTTCAAAGGGTGCAGGATGTTCAGTTCGACAAAATAACGGTGGAAATTATTTCGTAGGCCCTAAAACGACTCCTCCAGATCCAGCCTTAACCTCCAATTAGACGTAACTCACAAGCTGAAGTAGCTCTGATACGTCGGATTAGAACCTGTAAGACTGGCCTCCAGCTCGACATTTTTTCTGATTCAAGCAATTCGAAGATGTTCAAACTTCAAAGGGTTCAAGATGTTTAGCTCGACAAAATACTGGTGGAAATTATTTCATAGGCCCTAAAACGACTCCTCCAGATCCAGTCTTAACCTTCAATTATACATAACTCACTAGCTGAAGACGAAGTAGCTCTGATACGTCGGATTAAAACTTGTAAGACTGACTTCAAGTTTGCGATTTTTGTGATTCAAGCAATTTGAGGACGTTCAAAGGTTGCAGGATGTTCAGATCGACAAAATAGCGATTAAAATTATTTCGTAGGCCTTAAAATGACTCCTCCAGATCCAGCCTTAACCTTAAACTGGACATATCACATATTGACATAACTCACTAGCCGAAGTACCTCTGATACGTCGGATTAGAACTTGTAAGACTTGCCTCCAGCTCGCCATTTTAAAGATTCAAGCAAATTGAGGATGATCAAACGTTAAAACACAACTTGAGTAGATCATACCACGTATAAAAGGGAGAACATTGGTGTCTTGAACCGCTTGTTGACGAGACCAAAGCAGCCGGGTAATATTCCACCTCTGCCACCAGCTTGGAGGAACCTGGGTAGTGGGTACGTGGATATGATGGGAGGGGGTTACTCAGAATTATTAGCAGTATCACCTTAACTGTAAGGAGTCGATCAAGCGAACACGTATGCTGCTTTAAGAAAGCAAGTAATATTTTTAATTTTGTTATGGAAATGATCTATGCTTGAAACCTGGAATTAACTGTAACATAGTTTTACCTGCTAGCTGCAAGAGAAGCACACATGGCGTTACCCAGGGTGGAGACAGCCACAGCTATAGCATAGAACACCTCTCCTGACTGTCCCATCTTTTTACCAGCTAGTTTCTGTTAAGAAAATACGGTGGCTTCAGCTATTTACATTTGACGTGGAGCTTATCAATGTTCAAATCAGTGTAATCAGAACGTGTTGTAGTCGTATGTTTGGATCGGAAAATAGGCCGGAAAAATGAGCGAAAATGCAGGATATCTGCAACTCACACTAGCAAGAGCTGAGCCAGACATCATGGTATCCATATCGAGTACAATGTGATAGGATGTGACCGCTAAGACGTACAGTATCGTCACTATCGTCATTGATATCGCCACTATTTTTGGCAGCATCCTGGGAAGATCCCCTGTTTAAAATCCCTCGGCTAAAATTCCTATTCCATTCACGCGAAATTTCTTTTCCATTCATGTGCCCCAAAAAAGTTGGTCTCTTTAAAACTTGAACCTGGGGTCCTTGACCTCGCCCAACATGACAGAAAGAGAGATCCAGCCATTGTAGGCCCACAGAACACTGTTCCAAGCTTCCCCCCATTCCTGTGGTTTCCAGCTTGTATTCTCAAATCCTACCGTTATGTTCTCCGTGTGTCCTAGTGGCAAGTTTGGGTTTATATATTTGCATTTATTCGTCTATAAATGTTACAGAAGTTTATTTTGAAATCCTTCACCCCACGATTAGTCGGTAATATTAATTATGGGTCTGATGTTCATGTGTAATCGAAATCGCTAAAAGATCTCTGTTTGAATTGAAAGTAATTTTGATGAAAGATTAGTGGTTACCATGGTTACCTGGGGTAGTGGGCTTCATTAAATTCACCTTGGCACAAATGGACGAAGCCAAGTATGATGATGAGAGCGAGGGACGCCATTTTAAAGAAGGTAACAGCGTCAATAATCTTAAGAGTAAGGTTCGGGTAGATAGTTATTAGGCTCATGATCGTCCCTGGTAGGATTTTGGAGGTTATTATTCAGAATTATTGAAAGTACAGATAAATGTAAACATTTCACAGTTCAGTATTCCATAGGTAAATAGTTTGAGATCGAAAATGAAACACATATTGTTCCTGGGGTATCTACACGCCCTCAATATTAATCCTACAATCTATATGAATTAACTATGTTTTACTCACAGCATACAACAATGCAAAGGATCCTGTTGGCCCATTCCGGAACATCGTCAGCATTATCGTAAGAAGACAGCCCAGAAATACTTCCCAAACGTCAGGAACCCTATTGCTCTGCCTAGCATAACTTTAAATTAGACTAGGACAATGAAATCTGCCATGTCTGGTGCTCACAATCTTGCACTCCGGTAACAGGTAACGTTAATTCAATTATAGGGGACTTGGCAGTAAAATTTAAAATTTTATCTTCACTTCAAAGTAAACCTATGCGAGTCTTTAAAGCCGAATAATCACATACTAAAAGTAATGTCTTCAATAAAAGAATAAACAGATAAGATTTACTCACGAAGTCCCCCTAAAAGTACGTGTAGAAGATAACAGGACAGGAATGATAGAAGACCTCCAAACGCCTTTCTAGATAAATCATCTGTCCACCATTTTTAGGTAACATTCGTTCCAAGCTCCAGAAATGTAATAGCTCCTGGGGGGGGGGGGGGGGGGGGGGGGGGGGGGGGTCATAGAATGTAATAGCTCCTGGGGGGGGGGGGGGGGGGGGGGGGTTCATAGAATGTAATAGCTCCTGGGGGGGGGGGGGGGGGGGGGGGGTTCATAGAATGTAATATTATATGAGCCATTAATTTAATTTAATAACTTAGAGATTTATATTCATGCAATTTAAATGCAAATAAAATGCGAATAAAAAACATGCCTTACTATAGTAGAAAGGACACCACCTCCGAGCCAGATTAGTATTGACATGGCTGGGGGAGCCGACACGCTTCGACACGCTGTTTGGGGAAACGAATATCCCTGCCCCAATGATCGTACCCACGATAATGCACACTCCTGAATGAACTAATGCTAAGCCCGTTGGGAGGGGGGTACAGTAGACTGAGCTCAATCAGGTACTAGCAATAAAATGCAATATATGTTATGAATAGGTAAAAAATGCGCACGATCAGGTACTTTTAAATACATACCGTGTAACACAGTGATGTTCTTGTCCATGGGTTACCTTGGCACACCCACACCCACATCCCTTAGACCCGCAAGTACAAACTCCCACCTCGGCCTCTTTGTCCAGATCCTCATTTCCACCCTCCTTTTCAGCTGAAGAGACAGAATAAGGGGGGAGGAGGGTCGGAGGGGGGACAGGCATCTTGGTTCGCAATCACCTCACATCTGAGCGATTGGTGAGTTATCGGAGGAACTTGAAACAAGAGGACTTTCTGTATGATCAATGACTCTTGTGAGAAGAGATTAATTTGAATTGGAATAGGAAAAAATTATCAGTACAACTACAAATAACTCAGGTAAATACTAAATATGTGTTTAATCACTTAACTGATTTTCAGACTGCATTTCGGTTTCATAATGTACGCGGTCTTATCCGCTGATGGTTCCAAATCTTATTTACGTATTCGGTATTAACAACAACTTGAACGAAGAAAAATGGGGCGTGCGAAGAGGCCCGAGATTGCTTAATGGCACAAACCGATAACGTTGTCACCAATTAATATCAGTGAAAATAAGATCACATGATGGCCCTACAAAACATATTGCGACATCATGTCGGTAAATATATCTAAATTCGATTACAAATATTAGTACTAAATAAAAAGATAAAGGACGGTAACAGCAGGTGCAAAACACGAAAGGATTAGCCTCCAATCTTTTTGTAATCGTTTTGTTGGAAAAATCTGCAGCTTCCAGCACAAAGTTGGCTTCATAGGATATGTAAGTGTCTCCTCTGCTGCCAATTTTATTGTTAAACATCGATAAGAAGATCAACGTCCAGAAAATTAGCAAATACTCTTTACAATCATTGAAAACTCGATAATGAAAATCTCCGCCACCAGAGGTGAAAATTAAAAACTACTTTATCAAACGAAGGTCTGCCTGGAACGGTCTAAGTCTAGGCTACATTAATAACAGAAATTCAAACAAAGCGACTGATAAGAAACACAGATCATTCAAACTTTAACTGGAAATTGCCAGTGAAAATTGGTTGAGTAATCTTTAAGCCTAAAATTAAGAACGTTACATCAGAGGAAAATTCTAAAACGTAGAACATTCTGAATCGAGTTTGAATCCATCGATCCATATCAAATGATGTAAAACCTCCTACCGGAGTATCATGATTAGATTTAACAGAGCCATGAGTGATGAGCGATAAATAGCCGTTATCTCAGGTTTTCTGATGTAATTGCTGTTACGGTCACGTACATCATGGTGAACCTAAAATATTAGTCAAAAACAGAAGTCACACAAACCAATGTATTAGTATACACTGAAGTCTAATTTGGTACAAGCTCTTACCTCTAAAAACGATTGCCAGGTAACTTTAGTTGTACCAGTACGTAACAGTACCACGTAACTGTACCAGTACGTAACAGTACCACGTAACTGTACCAGTACGTAACAGTGCCACAAAATTGTACCAGTACATAACAGTACCACGTTACTGTACCAGTACGTAACAGTGCCACATAATTGTACCAGTACGTAACAGTACCACGTTACTGTACCAGTACGTAACAGTGCCACATAAGCTGTACCAGTACGTAACAGTACCACGTTACTGTACCAGTACGTAACAGTAACCACATAACTGTACCAGTACGTAACAGTACCACGTAACTGTACCAGTACGTAACAGTACACGTAACTGTACAGTACATAACAGTACCAGTACGTAACAGTACCAACGTTACTGTACCAGTACGTTAACAGTGCCCTAACTGTACCAGTACGTACAGTACCACGTTACTGTACCAGTACGTACAGTGCCACATAACTGTACCAGTACGTAACAGTACCACGTTACTGTACCAGTACGTAACAGTACCACGTTACTGTACCAGTACGTAACAGTGCCACATAACTGTACCGGTACGTAACAGTACCACATAACTGTACCAGTACGTAACAGTACCACGTAACTGTACCAGTACGTAACAGTACCACGTAACTGTACCAGTACATAACAGTACCAGTACGTAACAGTACCACGTTACTGTACCAGTACGTAACAGTGCCACATAACTGTACCAGTACGTAACAGTACCACGTTACTGTACCAGTACGTAACAGAACCACATAACTGTACCAGTACGTAACAGAACCACATAACTGTACCAGTACGTAACAGTACCACGTAACTGTACCAGTACGTAACAGTACCACGTAACTGTACCAGTACATAACAGTACCAGTACGTAACAGTACCACGTTACTGTACCAGTACGTAACAGTGCCACAAAATTGTACCAGTACGTAACAGTGCCACATAACTGTACCAGTACGTAACAGTACCACGTTACTGTACTAGTACGTAACAGTACCACATAACTGTACCAGTACGTAACAGTGCCACATAACTGTAACAGTACGTAACAGTACCACATAACTGTACCAGTACGTAACAGTACCACATAATTGTACCAGTACGTAACAGTACCACGTTACTGTACCAGTACGTAACAGTACCACATAACTGTACCAGTACGTAACAGTGCCACATAACTGTAACAGTACGTAACAGTACCACATAACTGTACCAGTACGTAACAGTACCACATAACTGTACCAGTACGTAACAGAACCACATAACTGTACCAGTACGTAACAGCACCACATAACTGTACCATTATGTGACAGTACGCTTCTCTTCGCGTAGAGATTTTTTAAAAAAATCTAGACACTTATTTTACTTCGGAGTATTCCAACAGCCATATTGTTACACAGGTGCAACCAGCCAATTACAGGAAGCCGAAGGATTTGTTTTTAGCCAGTGACGGTTAAGGTAGTGTGTACCATACTTTCTTCGCCCGAGACTTTGCTGCAATGTGCAGCTCCTCATTTAACCCTCACACCCGATTTCTCGAGAATTCGGCTGAGTAGACCGGGGGGCTGCATAGGACCACTCACGATCCTTAGCTGAATGTCAACGACACTCACCCCACGACCAGGCAGGCAGTGGGATTTGAACCTGCAACCTCACAATTGCAAAGCTGGCTAACTTGACATACGTTGCATGCCACTTTTCGCGCGCGAAGCGCGCGCCGACGAAACATACGAAACATACGAAACATACGAAACATGTATCAATGGCTAACCAACTGCGCTACCTGGCCATAAAATTTATTATTAGTGCAAGATTATATTAAGTGCAAGATTATATTAAGTGCAAGAAGCTTTAAAAGATTTAGCGCCGTGAATGTAGATTCAAAATTTGACCAAAACCCATAATCATGGGTAGAGTGTACCGCTGCCAGTGTCTCTCTTTTCCAAACAAAAGGAAATGATATTAATTTGAATAACCGTCCGAAAATGCAAATTGATACCGAGAATGAAATCGGTCGCTCGCTTTTTCCATTCGATCACGGCTTACGAATTGTAATATAAAGCTTATAAAGCGAGCGACCGATTTCATTCTCGGTATCAATTTGCATTTTCGGACGGTTATTCAAATTAATATCATTTCCTTTTGTTTGGAAAAGAGAGACACTGGCAGCGGTACACTCTACCCATGATTATGGGTTTTGGTCAAATATCATCTCTTTTTGATTATAATGTCAGGATAATTTACAAAGCCGAAATGTAAACTCATAACTTCATTAATATTTATATTAATAATTAGGAGGTAATTTCATCGATTTCGAAATTTTACCTGACTGAATATGGCACTTTTTACTTATTCAAGTTGGCATTAAATTCATATATAATGCCATTTAAATATCGTGGGAAAGCAGAATTTATTCGAAATCACGAATGAGCAAAATTCTCACCTTTCGCACGTGCAAACTTTGAGCGGACGTTGCGTGCGGATACAATATTGAATCACCGTAAATTTTTGCATAGCAGTATTTTATATATAATTTAATAAGCATGCAAAGTTTCAGAAGATTTCATATAGAACTTGGATCACAACGAGACTCCAAAGTTGATAACAAGAATTGCGCCCGTTGTTTCGTTTTGGCGGACGCTAGATTTCCATTTCACATTTACTATAAATTTAAGTATAAGCTCCAATCAGCTCACTTCAATCTTCAT